ATTCTTGTACAATAACACTCGATGCGCTCATTTTGCAACTTTTTTTGTTGTCATTAATTTGTTGTTGTTTTTTGCAGTGTCTATTGGTTTTAATTTAATCAGCAATTAAGTTTTGATTATAACAAATTTATCCGCATAATATCATAATAACAATTTGCCAGTAAATACAAACCGCACAACGATAAACATGTATTGTAGGTATGTTCGTCTGCGTTTTTGTGTGCACAGAATTTGGTAGGTTCATTGAATGTGCATGTGTATCTATTAAATTTGTCGAAAATCGCAATAATTTGCAAATGAACTGCAATTTGTTGAACAAAACATTTAATATATATATGACATGTGTATATGTGTAGAATAATACTTTTTTTACGAAAAATAGAAGGTAGTGAAGGGTCATAATAAAATATTTAAATTTTTAGGTTTAGAAAAATATTTCATGCCTTCTATGATATAACTGGTTTGTGTTAACTAAAGTGCGGTACATATACTAGTGATTCTATTGGTCTTCTGTTACCAATACTTTAAAACGAATTTTTATTTTTCAGTTTAATACTATAGAAATTTAAATAGGTGGCAGCACAATTTTCAAACATTTTCTACTGCAAATTTTTCGAACTTATTTTGAGCTTCAACCTTTTGTTAGTTTGAGAGCCTAAGAAAGGACATTTTGGGAAATTTAGAAAAAAACGACTATATCAATTGTTTTAAAATTTTAAGGGTATATTTATACTTATTTAGATAACAGACAGTAAAATCTTTGAAAAAAACGAAATATTTTTTGAGTTACACGCCAAACACGTTAAAAACAAGTTCCTCACTGCTGCAGTGAATCTCTTTCTCTGTGGATGAAGTTCTTGACTAGAAAATATTGTCCATGTAATGACCTACAATCGAAAAAATGCAAAAATTTACAAAATGGCGGCGTTTAGAAAAACGTAAATTATAACAGAGAGCATGCAGAAAATTCCGTACGTGCATTTCACGAGAAAGACGCATTTAAGGATGAACTGTTGGACTGACGAAACTCAGCGGCTACACGTTAAAAGGCTGTAACTCAAAAATCATTTAAAATTCTAGTATGTTATTTCTGAAGGTATAGACTATCTATGTATGCAAGAATAAAAACGTTTGTTTTTTTCGAAATTTTACACCAGGTGTACCATTAAAAATCCCATAAAAAAATTCACAAAATTGGCAATGCTTTTCAAAAATGTTTTTTGTTGTAAGTATTCATAGAGTTCTTGAGATTGATAGCCCATTTTATGGTCATTTGTTTAAAAAACATTCATTTAGTAGATTATAGCCATTGACCTTTAACAGTAGCTATCGGAGCTAGAACATCTGTCTCAGGTTTAGTAAAATGATTCCATCAATATGATAATTTTGAATGCGTATACCATTTTAGTTTTTGACATATATTAGTAACGGTATAACTCAATGGCGGCTACTACTCGGGAGATACTATGTCTGATACAGGTCCTCTTTGCTAAGCAATATTAAAGCTCTAATTGCCTTACTGTAATTAAAAAAACTTTCTATATAAAATCTATCAAAACTTAGGAAGTGGCTTAAAACCTAAAAAAAGGTTTTCCATACAAGAAATTTCAAATCTAACTATACGGAAGATATAAAAACAGACGGACATGCCTAAATGGACTCAGCTCAGATGATCATTTATGTATATATTTTATAGGATCTCCGACGTTTCCTTCTGGGTGTTACAAAGCTAATATAACCTATTCATTGTATATATTTGTATATGACTAATAATCAAAATAATTAGCTTAGTTTAATTCGAATTATGTTACATTAATATGTAGCCACAGAAGTATTTATATATTTTATAAATTAAAAAAAAATGTCTGTTTGAAATAATATAATTTTAATAATAATTAGTTTTTGCTTGATTTAATAATTTTAAATTAAATCCGAAGTTAAACGCGTGCATGTTAATCATCGAAAAAATTTCGACTTATGCAGATAAATGTAGATTTGTAAATTCATTTAGGCCATTGTAACTCAATATCAAAAAATCAATCATATTACCGTTATTAAAATTACATTGGGACGGCTTTTGGTGAGTTCGCGGTGATTCAATCGAAAATTCGAAAATTAATTGGCCTCTCAATTGACAACTTTCAATTAAATTAAAGTAGGTCGAATTAAGTTTTTCACTCTTACTTTATGTCAATTATGTGCACTGGACAATAGCAATTATCGCAAAGCTAACAAAATGCCAATATTTGACTTTTTGGATTGTTGTTCTTGTTTTTGCTGGCTTTTAATTGAGTTGATTCTTTTTAAAGTACAATGACCCCTTCGTCCTTTTATTGCATCCCACTGCAAATGGCAAATATTAAAATAATATTTAGTTAAGTAATGAAGATATCGACTCAAAAATCAATTAAATTACCAAATCTAGCGTCAATGAGATATAGAGCATAAATACGTTCTGCAAGTACTCGAAAAGAGGATATGAACAGAAGGATGGGTGAAAAAAGAAATATTCTGTTTTTCACTGGTCCTCCGATGTGTTCTTAGACACTTCTAAGAAAGCCTCTCAAAGTATGAGCTCTTAATTGTAACGCAAAGGTTCTTCGCTAAACAAACAGTTCACCACTATCAGCATATGTTGTCACTGTGATTATTTAATTTTTTTCTTGGAAACAAATCCATTTGTTATCTGTTTTGCACCGAAATTACTGCAGGATAGCCAACTTCCGAAAAAAATCACGATTTAATAAATTTAATTCCCTGAAAAGTTATTCAAATAGAGATTTAGAGTTAATTTTGTGAAGAGCAAAGTAGCATGTTGGTAAATATAAATGACGTGGATATATTAAAAATATTGTTGCAATGGTCAAATGGCATACTTCCTTTTTGGACTAGAAAAAATAAATTAAGTTAAAATTTGTTTGAGCTACAATGGTAACTATGTGATTTTACTGCTGTCAAAACAAAAGAAAAAGAAGAAAATGTATACAATATGTTTCCATCGGCAAAAAATTGTTTATTCAGTGATAATGGAAATAGTTGTGGGTTAAATCACCTAAGCTAACATAAAAATGATTTTGATCGATCTGTTTGTATGGCAGCTATATTCGATCGATATCTCAAAAACTGAGGAACTAGTTCGCATATATACAGGTAGACAGACGGAGGAACGGACTTGTCTAAATCGACTCAGCTCGTCACGCGCATATATATAATATATTAATATACAGGGTGGCTCATGAGTCGTGCTACAAAAACAAACCGTAATAACTTTTTTTTTAACCAATGCATTAAATTTAATTTTTATTTATTGTATAGAAAATTTTATATTATTTTGTATAATTAATTATTTAAAAAAATTATGTTATTTAAAAAACTATTCACTGCCATAAAAAAAAGTCTGGTGCAGTCAAGTCAGGTGACGGAAAGTGGAGTTTCTTGATAATAATTTGTTTTAAATTTTCGTTGGAGCTGCGCAATAACCGATCTGGCTATATGTACAGTTGCTCCATCTTGTTGGAACCAAACGTTATTGAAAGGGATACGTCTTGGGCGCAATTCTACGTAAAAAAACTCATTCAAAATTTAAAAAATTGTGCATTGACAGTTACTGTTACACCGTTTTTTTAAAGAAGTATGGCTCGACAATACATCTTGATGAAACTGCGCATCACACACTGACTTGTTCAGGGCTTTTGCTTGTTTACATTTCCATTTTATTATTATTAAAATGGGCCCCATCAGATATAAACAGACAATTTATCAAGTTATTGTCTCCAGACGAACAGGCAAAAGAGGATTGAACCTGCTTGTTATTTAAAATTGTTTGCAAACAGGTTTAAGTCGTTATGAATTATCCGTTGTAATAACCGCCTGCTATCTCGAAGTTGCGCCGTAAGTTGCGGGTCGAAACTCTTGGATTTGCCTGAATTGACAAATGCAACTTCTTGTTTCTTGAGCGCGAACATAGGAATCTCGATGTTACGGTCTTCTTGCGATACTTCCACATTCGGCAAACATGTTTACCAACCTCATAATGGTCCATCTACTCGGGGGAGTTCCGCAAATATCCCGTATAAATTCACTTTGACTCTTTGGACGGAAATGACGGAATGCAAAGCATAGTACCGCTGCACTATCCAAACCCTCTTTTTGGTATCTAGAGTATTCATTATTGAATAATTTTAATAATAACCTGCAAAAAAAAAAATAAATCGATTACTCACACAGAAAAAATTTATTGCGGTTTCTTTTTGTAGCACGATTCGTGAGCTACTCTGTATATAAATTTTATGGACACACAAGATTTAATATTAATTAGTAATATATGTATGCATATGTATGTATAATGCAACAAAAACAATTTAAAAATCATTAAAACGCAATCAGCACACAGTAATTTAAAATTACAACCAAAATACAAATAATAGCACAAGAAATGGATGATTGCCATTTAACATAAGCGAACAGTAAATGAACAGAACTCAACAAATATACACATAAATAATCATATTTAAGAATATTTCCATTTACCCGTATAAGTACTGTCTGCGTTATATGCACAGCAATCACAGTAATCAATATTACTCATACGCACTGTAGGCATCGCCGGCTAGTGAGCACTCGTGTTATCTTTGCATTAACGGTTTACTCTTGAATAATGTGGAGCAATTTTCGGCCTCATTGTCATGGCTTTAATAGCGCAGCTGTCATTTAAAAGCAAGCAAAGCATGCGCATATATATAGTACAAACATATACATATGTATGTATATATTTCTTATAAATAATTAATTTAAGCGCCACAGCGAATTCCGGCTGCTTCACAATTCGCCGTTTTATAGAATACAATTTAAAAATTTCTGTGTTTCTTTTTTCTTGCTTGTGCATTAATACACTTGAATTCACACGTGTAATTGAATTTTTATTACATATTTACTTTATATGTGTCTGTACGAGCATATGTATAATGGTGTGTTTTCTCTTTTACGCCTGTTTCTTGCAGATAAATAAAAACTCGCAGGTTCCCTCGAAGAGCAGCAATGGCGAGCGCAAGCGCTGGATTCACGATCCTACAAGTGAGTATGACTGTAACGCATGTATATATGTGTGTGTTTGTGTTTAAATGCTACATTAATCTGTAAATAAATGTGTGCTGCTGGAAACGTAAATTCCTTAATTTTACTTTTTTTTGGTTCTGGGGCACACACACGCACGCCCAGACGGTCGTAAAGCCAGCAGGTGACCGCGATTTATTACATACACCTTAATTTTATTTCCAAAGACATTAAGTGTCGGGCGGCTGAGAGCAGGAGAATCGCTTGAAAAATGCAGCTAATATGCAGTTAAGGGGTGCGGGTGTGCGTGTGTGTGAGTATAAAATATATATTCGATTCATAAGCTCCATAGTGGATTAAAACTTGTTTAAGCGCTATATTTGACTGATGTTTATACACGTGTGTGTGGGTTCAGGTGAATGTATACTCTTTTAATTAAATTAACACATGAGACTAAGTGTTGCACTTAGAAAGTAAGAAATATCCTTCCTATCACTCTTCGTTTTCGGTGATTGCAGAAGTTACATATATTTTTCTTTCTCTTAATTGGCGCTTGGACCATCCGGCTGCCTCTATGCTTTGTTTCCATTTGCCAGTTAGCACCTATTGAGGGTACTGATAGAGGGCAAGTTCATTTCGCTCATTGCTTAATGAGCAACCAGACATATTTCGTATCAGTAGAACCTCGTTTACTTCATCTCTCTGGCTTATTTTTCAGTAGAAAACTCAATTAAGATGTTTTAAATAAGTACGAGTACAATAAAATTGTTTAAAAATCACTTTATTCAGCACAGTTATGCGCCTCTTACCTGGTTTTCAGCCTCAAGATGACAAATGCTAAAGCCATTCAGCCATTTCAATAAAATGAAAGCGTGCAATTGTTCCATTTTTGCTAAGAGCAAATATAAAACTTTGTGTTAAACTTGATAAGAATTGACTGAGACATAACAATTGATGAAGAAATTTTATGGTGATCATTGTGTGAGTCATATTCAAGTTTATACGTGGTTTGCACGACTTAAATGATGAGCGAAGGCCATTTCGTCCATAAGCTAGTAATCGAACTGAATTGGTAAAAAAAAAGACCGTGAAATGATTGATATTGATGCACATTTTCGAAGAGAATGTTGCCTAAGGGATTAAATATCAGTAAAAGCACTATTTTGAGAATTTAAACTGAAGAGTTGGATAAAAGAAAGGTCTGTGCGAGTTTTGTTCGACATGAAAACAAAAAATTTTAACGAGTTTTTGACGAAAACGGACTTCTCTTAGTAACCACCCTCCGTATTCACCTGATCTATCAAAATGTGACTATTTTCTCTTTCCAAAACTGAAAACCAACATGAAAGGAGAATTTTATGACGGCATCCCAGTGCTTTAAGCAGCCGTAACCGAGGTACTGAAGAAAATACCTATAAATTACATAAAAATCTATGCATGGTTGGTCGTTCCAAGCATTGTATTGAGTCTAATGGAACCTATTTAGAATGAATAATAATATTCAAAGATAATATCATTTTCATTTTATTCTACATCTGAAAAGTTTGGTTATTGTGTATTTCCTTAAATTTTGGAAGACAGTGATTAAAGATTTTCAATAATAATAAGAATTTTATCAGCTTTGATTAAGTTAAATGTTGGAAAATTCGTATTAGTGCTAACCTTTTTAAGCCAAATATATTAAATTGGAAATGCACTAGTGGTTCTCAGATGTCTTCCTTTATAATAGAAAAGGAGTAAACTCCAAAAACCAAATACTTCCATATTTTTCTACCATGAACAGGGTATATCAAGTTTGCCACGAGGTTTGTAACATCCATAATGAAACGTCGGATACCCTATAAAATATGTATACACATATATAACTGATCAGTATGACGAGCTGAATTGATTTAGCTTTGCGACCTGGTCCCTCAGCTTTTGAGATATCGATATGAAGATTTGCACACGTACTTTTCTCTCCAATAAGCTGATCATTTTTCGGAACCGCTCATAAAGGATCACTATAGCATATCGCTGTCATACATACTGAACAATCAGAATCAAATGCTTGTATGAAAAAACTTTTTCATTTGTGAAGGGTATTATAGCTTCGGAGCAACCGAAGTTAACGTTTTTTCTTGTTTAAGCTCAAATCAGTTTCATAATCAAACTTTTGTTCATTTGAACCACCCTGTAATGAATAAAACAGCTACTTGCACTGCCTGGTAAGAGTATGTTTGCTTTTAATTTGTAAGAGGAGGTAAAATTAAAATTACTAAAGTCGTTTGCCGTTAAAGGCAGAAAAGGTCGTCCACCGTTACACAGGTGATATGACTGCGAGATAATGTAATAAAAACCGCTCATTAAAAGGAATTAACATCATTTGTACAGCTCTGCAGGAAATATAGCTTATGCGCACACACATTTATATTTTTGTAGTTATGTTTGTATGTAATGTATAACTGCTTATTCACTGTGTGTAATTATTTAACCTTTTTGTTTACATCACTCCTACTCACCAGGTGACCTTTGCCGGCCATTAAATTGCAAGAAGCGTGAAATTTGTTTGCTGGAGGATGAGTACAGTGCTGTGTGTGTGTCGAAGCGTGACTTACACAAGAATCGGTAAGTGGAGAGTAAACTTCTAAGAGTGAAACTTCTTAGGGTATATACAATAGTTTATATCGATTTCAATAAGTAGAGGACTAAGCAAGCAATTAATTTTTTGGTAATAGAAGCAGCACTCCATCATTATTTCTATTAGAATTCCGGCAGACTGCGCTGCAGTCGTGTCAGATATTCAAGAGTATATTTGAGTTTCAGTTGCGCCTAGTAGATAGCGCTGAGATTAAATTCTAAGATAGTACAATATAAGTATAGTTTAAGCTTTGAAAACTATAGACATGTGTATGGTGTATAGTGTCTAAACATTTATACTGCTATGCTACTTTATACGATACATATCTGAATGAAGATTCATAAAGGATAGTTCTGCTGAACACAATTGCTACTTTTTGGTACATCCATTATTTTCTTCTTACGGACATTACTTAAAACTATTTATGATAAAATTTGTTCCTGTTTCGAAGTACATATTTTACATAATTCTTTATCAAATTTTCCTAAACTACGTAACTATTCTGACACGTCTGTCGGGTCTAGTTAATAATGTAAATACTCAACTATTATATACGTTAAACTCATTGACGCTAAATTGAATTCACAAGCATATGTCTTATGTCTTATGTCGTATTTCAAGAGTTTTAAAAAATACGACACTTGTGAGCACCCCTTAATCGTTGTATGTCATATTGTGTAAGATTTCGACACTTCACCAGCTGATAGTGAAAAATTAAGACTACAAAAAAGCCACGAGAAAGTGGCAAAAATAAAATTAAAGGCTCTTTATGTGAAAGCTTTATTTATGTTGAAACGGCAGCGTTTTGGTTTACACTGCACAAAACCATTTCCAACCACAGAAACAACAAAATATTTTCATATATCACTTTTCTTCAACTTAATTTACTGAATATAGTGGCTTTCTCTTATATTATTAAAGAAATTTATGAAATTTATTTAATTTTCGAAATTTAGACGCTTAAATGTCAACAATAAAAAAGTAAACAGATACAGCTGATAGAATAGCACACTCAAAAAACATACCTCGCCGTGTTGTGTTTGTCGTATTTCAATTTTGCATGGGAAACAACAGCAGTGTTGATATGACAGTCATAAAGAAATAAGACAATATGACGCAATATGACACTTTGTGAATACCCTAATAGCATAATATCTCAAAAATATATTCAAAATAAATGTTTTTTGTTCCTTTTTAGTTTTGTCTATTTTTATTTTTATTTAGATATACCAATTTAATTCAATAAAGAAATCTCAAGAGGTGGCAGCCCTTCCCAAACATATATCACACTAATTTAATCGCCATGTGATCAAATTTTTCAGTGTAAAAAGTAGACAAAGTTCATTGCTCTTTTGTTTTGAATATAACATTGATAAATTTACAGGAGGGTTAGTCACAATGTGGCAACCTTCCTTCTAACTGTTAGTTAGCTACTTGAACTAAAAAGTTGGCAACTCTCCAACTGTTTTTTGTTTTTTATTTCATCCGAGTGTTACACCAAACATACCAAAAATTTAATAATAATAATGAGAACAATATAGTTTCCACAATAGTTATGCTTTGTATACCACAAGCGTGACGTAATTTTGTTGCGCAAAACAATTTCTTTGCGGTCAAACGTTTCTACTATCGTGCCTAAAGAAGTTTCACTTCAAAGCATTAACCTGAAACAGCACTTACCCACACATCTACAAGAGTGCATTAAACATTTTTGTTGTTGTTGTACTTCATTGAAGTTTCCACAAATTATCCCGCCCACAAATCTACTTACTCACCTGGCCTATCACTTTAAAATCCCAATTGGCCTATTCTCTGTGATAAAATTAAGTTAAGCAGTAAACCCTCAGAATTCCTCCTCAAACATTATATCGCACTCGACTACATGAACGACTTCCACACAAAAATGTTTAATTATGTCTTTAGCTCACCTTTATCGCCTTTTGTTTGTAAGTGTGTATTTCGACAATTTACCAATGCCATTAATCTCCCACCACCACACGCCTTTCTAGTAGCACGACTACAAGTAGAGTCTTCCTCTCCTTTACACACACACACACACACACACGTATACTATCGTGAACTGCTGTGGAACTAATTATTTTTATCTGTTCTATCTTTCGTCACCGTTCCTTTAGTGATGAAATAATCACGAAAGCCAAGTACTTGGAAGAGGAGGCGGCTAAGCGGCGCGCCAATAAGGATAACGGCAACAACAACATTAATATTAACAACAACAGCGACAATGACAATGATGATGAGGATGCGAAGAACTTCAGCTCGGACGAGGAGTCCCGTGAGGATGATGTCTTCTATGAGAACAACAACACAGCCGGGGATAAGGATGACGAAGAAGACGAAGAGTAAGTCGAAAACTAATGAAATTAGTCGTATTATCTATAAATGACTGGGCCTGGTTTGTGGGATCAAAAATGTTAGATTTTTAACATGTCATTAATTAACAGCAATTTCGAATGCACGAGTGATGGCCCGCTGGCTGAACGGTTGGTTGTTTGGTTGATTTCCTGCAGAAATCGTTTTGGGCGCTGGAAAGCATGCTACGAATTTGACGAGCACAGCATTTAATTTGAAATTGTGTGAGAGTATGCGGATGTGTGTGTGAACTGGCACGTGGCTGTCACACATGTTTCGGTGTATGCTTGAAATCGATGTAGCTTGTTGGTTTTTGTATTCAATATGTGCAGACGTGGGAGTGGGAGTGTAAATATGTCCGCATATGTCACCGCACACATCACTCCAAGTCCGATTTTATTAACGAATCTGTATGCTTTTTCAAGCTTGTTTACGCAAGCGTGTGTGTGTGTATGGGTGTGTGTGTGTTTGTGTTTAAAAGTGGCGTGGCATGGTCTGTTTGTTTACTTGTCGGGTTCTCAGTCCTTTTTGATGTTTCTCAACTCTGTGATGTTCTCCATGCTATTGAGCCACAAAGATTAAAAGACTTTCAAAATAGGTCACTTATGGTACAACCCGTACGCATAGCTTCTTTGGTTTACATAAAAGATCTTTCCGCGGTGCGAATAAAGGAAAGAAGGAAAATTTCCAAACAAATGGTGAACAAGTGGAGCTGATTAGCGATTTAAATCTCATTTTGTTGAATATTTTTTTTTGTAATGAAAGTGGCGGACACACAGAAGAAAACACAACAATCCTTGATCCTGATACACAATTTTCTTTAAGAACACAAGTTTTACTTTTCATTACAGTTAACTTCTTGGTATACAAATAAGTCAAGAGTGTATAATTTTTCCCGCTTTCAAATGATAAATATTTAAGTTCCTACAGAGTCGATGTTTGTTCCCAGGAAATCTTTCTTAGCTCCTTTTAAGGTTTAATTTTCTATCACAACACAAAACCTTTATTTCATGAAAATTTCGAAAAGTTTTCAATCGCGATTTGTCTGCTTAAAGTATTTCTTTTCTTTAAGCTTGAAGTAATATATCCACTTTCAAGTTGGAAAAAAATGCTTTTTTTATTATTTTTTTAGGAGATGCATTTTATTTTATAAATAAGTTAAAACAAGCACATTTACAGAATTTTATTTATTTTGATACTATACAATTCATTTTGACCAATTTTGGATTCCTTTGATGCCTTAGCCGATCTCCAGGAAGACCTCCAAAAAAGTCCAAAAACCCCAAAAAAAACTATATATATATAACTTTAACTATATAGAGTACAGATAATGATCGAAGGCGTGGTAAAAATTTAGCTTTTTATGAAAATGGCGGGTAAAAAATGCTGTTTCTTATAAAAAAAAATATACACCAGAATGGCTTAAAAAATATTATTCTTAAAAATCGTATTTTTTTTTTTGTTCATTACTTGATAAATTCATATATCTAAGAAGTTCGTGAGAAAATCGAATATACTCGAAAGGCTGGCATTGTTCGAACTATACTGGCATTTCTTTTATAGCGTTTTCTTTTCTCACAAAAATGTTGCATTTACCTCATCCTCGGGCTGTGAAATGTGTATGTTTTTTTCTCAGCATTATTTCATTTTCTTTTCTCAGAATGTTGTCTTCTAACTAAAAAAAAATTCAATATTTTCCACCGTTGTAAAAATGTAAGAGTGGGGGTTAGTTTTCATGCCCATTTTTTATCTACGTAAAATGTAATGCATCCGGCTCACTTAGTGATGATATTAACGTTGAATATGCGAGTTATTATAAACTCGTAAAATACAAATAAGCGCGATTTAAATCATCGGACAGAGCTATTTAAAAAAAATTATTTCTCTGCCCTTGCTAAATATTTATCTGGCAAAGAACTGTGATTTGGGCGGTGTTTCTTATAATTAGTTGTGTGCGCTTGTTGCCGAAACACATAGATAATAATTAACAAGTAAGGAAGGGCTAAGTTCGGCTGTAACCGAACATTTTATACTCTCGCAAAGTCAAATGGTATACTCGTTTGAGATTTCTTTGTGGATTGACTGATATTTTCGGTAGAAGGTCAACTATAGGCACTGGGGTCCACATATTTAGTACTTAGGGGCTTGAAAAGTTTTGGTTCGATTTAGAAAATTTTTGGTCACAAGGTGGCATACTTTAAACGTATTATTCACGCAAAGCTTTACGCCGATATAATCATTGTTACTTGATTTGCATAGTGGAAAGTGAAAGAATCAAGTGGTATTTAAAATGGTGTCATATGGCAAATAGGCGTGGTTGTAATCCGATTTCGCCCATTTTCGCACTATGACATAGAAACATGAAAAGAACGTTATGCACTGAATTTGGTTGAAATCGGTTAAGCAGATCTCAAGATATGGGTTTTCACCTAAAAGCGGGCGATGTCACGCCCACTGTCTAATTTTGAACGCGGCTCCTATAAAGTCATCTCATACCATCCCAGAGATAAAATTTAATGTCTCTGGCGTGTTTAGTGCTTGATTTATCGCGCTTTTAGTAGTTTTTAACAGTACCGTTATATGGGGAGTGGGCGGAGTTGCCACCCGATTTCAACTATTTTCACACCGTCAATAGAAGTGCTAAAAAAATTTGCTTCCAGTGAATTTTGTTATTATAGCATTAGCGGTTTAGGAGATATGTACATTAAACCTATTAGAGGCGGGACCACGCCCACTTTTTTAAAAAAAATTTTAACTGCAGATGCCCCTCCCTAATGTGATCCTGTGTACCAAATAACAGTCTTGTATCTTATTGCGGAGCTTAGTTATGGCAAGTTATTTGTTTTTGATTAATGGCGTTTTGTGGGCGTGGCAGTGGTCCGATTACGCCCATCTGCAATACCAACCGTCTCACGGTACCATGAAACATGTCTACCAAGTTTCATAAAGATATCTCAATTTTTACTCAAGTTAGAGCTTGCACGGACGGACGGACAGACGGACAGACGGACGGACGGACAGACAGTCACCCGGATTTCAACTCGTCTCTTCATCCTGATCATTTATATATATATAACCCTATATCTAACTCGATTAATTTTAGGTGATACAAACAACCGTTAGATGAACAAAACTATTATACTCTGTAGCAACAGGTTGCGAGAGTATAAAAAGACTCTTAGAACCACTTGATAAATTAAAAATAAGTAGGATGACAAGACAAATCTGTCCGTACGTCTGTGACAAAACTTTGTACACAGGTTGGTATTGTGAAACTGGACCATGCCCACAAAATTTCGTCAAGCGAAACACTACAAGTATAAACTGCTATAAATAGGCCATAAATTAAGATACAAATTTTGTATAAGACATTATAGCAGGGATGAGCGTCTATGGGGGAAAAGATTTGGTAAAGTGGGCGTATAAAGTAGCATTCCCTACGTCTTTAGATAATATTAATATATATAATTATAATAATATTTTTTCAAGTGTACCATAGTTTCTTTGTATACCCTGAACCCTAAGTTTGCACAAAATTTGTAACACCCAGAAGGAATCGTAACAGACCCCGTAAAATATATACATAAATGTATATACAATTATTGACAGACGGCGAAATAACTTTGTTTATGTATTATATTTTACCCGAAGTATTACGATTTGAAAAACACTAAATCACAGCTGTTTTTTGAAATTTTTATATACGTTTTACATGTAATGGAAGAATACTAATGTTAGTATTTACTCGTATAAATCCGCAGATCCATACTTGTACTTTTTAACCCTTAAAATCCAAAAGTGTCCGTTAAGTTTTGTACTACATCATAAAAATACTTAAAGCAAAAATCTTTAGCGATAAAAACACATACAATCAATATTTTTATACTAGCTTAAAAATATCAATTAAAAAGCGAGTATGTTTTAATACATATGGATTTACGTAAATATACACGCGCACTCATTAATAGCTGGTCGCCTGTATATGCAACTAAATGCAAATAATATTTTACAATGAAGTAAAGCACGTGGCCTTTGAAATTAAATATATAACGGTCGCCTATATACCAGTACCAGGATTAACTTGAGTTAAAATTAAGAATCTTGCTGCAACTTAGTACACGTGTTCCTTGGCACCATAAGAATTTTGGTATTGTAGATGGGCGTATTCGGACCACTGTCACGCATACAAAACGCCATCAGTCGTAAACTTATAAAACGCCAAAACTAACAGTGTAGACATGGGTGAAATCGGATGATAACCCCGCCCACTCCTTATATAACGGTTAAAAATTACTAAAAGTGCGATAAATCAATAACAAAATGCGTCAGAGACATTTAATTTTACATCCGGGATGGCACAAGGGGGTTTAAAAAAACGGTTATTAAATTTGGACGACGGGCGTAGCAGAGTTTACATTTAGGCTTCAACAAAATTTGTTCAAGCCCCCTGTCAAGTTGAGAGATATATTATTGCAATTCGGAGAGAGTCTCTTTCTGATAATAGTATGCAAGTATGTCAAAAATGGATCGAATCGTTTATGTATTTTATGCTTCATCTTAGGTAAATTAACCGAACATATACAGTTGGATATACTATAGTTTAAGAGTAATAATGTAATGTACTATAGTTAAGAGTTTAAAATGTTCGGTTCCTCCCGTACCTAGCCCTTTCTTACTTGTTTAAATATGTAAATGTGTACGTGTGTATTTTACTGGCCAGTTGGCGTTATCGTTTTACATACAGTTTTAAGTTGAATATTAAAGTTGGTGGCATATAAAAAATATGTATACACACGCACACATAATGTGTATATATGTATATAGGCCTCCATGTATTGACAATAAGCACCATGTCTACTAGAAATACCTGCAATGCCGTCATCCTCCCAAAGGCAACGTCATTAACAAGAACGTCATCGCATTGTTTCGACATTTTTTTCCAGTTCAACATCAATGCCAGCGTTACAATAACAACAAAATGAGGCAACCA